TGGTGAAAATTATTTGTAGTTACCAAATGATACCTTTTTCCTTCTGAAATGAAATGAGTTTAAAATTTTTCCTGTAAGAAATAGTAACGATAGTAGGTAACTATTTTGAGTGTGTCATTCAAGAGAACAACTAAGATCTCTCACTTTGTCATAAATTTGTTAGATGCTTTTATTCTCAATCCTGGATAATGAAGGAAAAGGGAGTTTTCTTGGTTTTGGTGGATTAATCTGCTATTGCCTAGGTGAAGTTGCTTGCCACATGTTAGAATTTAATTTAAAAACCAAGGCTGTTTTTAACTACAACATTTGGAAGCCAGAGGAATGGGGAAATGATTTTTTCTTTTTCTGTTGTGCAAGGTAAAAGTGGATAACATGGGCAAGTTAAGAAACTACAGTGTGTAAATATTCTATATTTGCAAACAGATTATGTTATAGAAGTAGTTCATTTAGTATAGGCAATTTTCATCATAATGTTAAAATTATACTTGCCTGAAAAATTTAATCCTGAAGTCTTTATAGAAAATAGAACATTGTGTGTTTAAAAACTGGTCATGTGGGCTGCGTAGCCTAAAAAATATATAATTTATGAATTGTTGAAGTGTTTTATTCAAAAATATGTCTTTGTAATGGTCTTAGGTAATTTTGAGTAAAGTTCATTGTTTTGTACGGGGAAAATTAATGAAGGTAAACCGATATAACTGTTATAAGCAAGTGGCCTAAACATTTAAAAATAAATTGTTACACTTAAGCCCAGCATGTAAAACATAAAATATAGCTGCTTCCAGTTAAGATGCGGGGCTGGAGCCTTTCTTGTTTGCCACACCCATATTCTCCTACCCCAAAACACCCAGTTTGAAAACCAGTGGTGCAGTTATAAAAGAACACGCATGGACTTTTGACTAAGGTAGTCCCAAACTCACTAGTGACCTTGGGCAAAGTTACTTTAATTTATCAGAGCCACAGTTTTCCTCATCTGTAAAAGGAGGTAATAACTACCTCACAGGGTTGTTGCAAAGCACTAGCCCTGGCAGAAATAGGGCCTCGTTAATTTCTTACCCGCCATGAATTCTAAATCCTTATGATCTCGTTGGAATCCTTGAAGAATGTGAATGTTACTAAATGCTGCAAACTCCCAAGAACATATGCTTTGTTTTGAGACTCGCGAGATGACGTGAATCAGCGTTACACCTTGATGTACGAGGCTCTCCATAATGGAATTGACAACAATTGAACAAGGTTGTTAAAGACATTCCCTGATGGTTCCACCTCTCCAAACAGATGTATTGTTTAGCATCACGTTAGGGTGGCAAGCTTCTAAAAGAAAATACTTTTCTGCTTTTACCTAGGTATTTAAGTCAAATGTTTAGAACTGGTGTGGGTACTTCTTACGATTTATGGAGTCGAAACTAAATGAGGCCTTACTTCTTCCAATGTAAAGGATGCTTATAGTCTTAGAAGGCAGAAGAAATTTCTTAATGGAAGATAGTTCATACTTTTGTAAATAAAGTTTTCAGTGACTTGCTTACTAATCCTGCAAAATTTCATGTAGCTTATGTAGTTTTTATAATACAGTTTATATGTATGTATGATACTGGGTTGTTTGAAAAGTCGCATTTTTGCAATGAAAAACAGAAAAAATACATCATGACTTTTCCGACAACCCAATATATATAAGAAAGATTTGTCTTGGACACTGTTTCATATATCCCCTCTCTAGGCTTAATGCTTATGTCTCAGAACTTAAAGGAACTGGGACATAAATGTTTTGTGGGATGTTTTTAGTGTAGCTTATGTAAGTTATTTGCGAAGCTTATATAAGTACATATTTGATTAGCTTCTAACATCACTAAAGTTTCTATCAAGTAATGGAGTGTTGAAACCCAGTTTATAAAGGAGATAGAATATGGCTACTCTGCTTGAAACAGGGAGGGTGGAGCCCTCCTTGCTTCGTTTGCCCATGCCCCTCTGCACTTGAAATTTAATGCCCAGTTTGAAAATCAACAAATAATGATAAAATGGATACACTCTAGGTTAGTAGAAAAGCTCTACCATCTATATAATCTACTAAATCCTTAATAATGTTTTCATTTCCCTGTACAGCATAAAGACATTTTCATAGCTACTTAGCATTTGAGCAAAAGAAAGTTAATTTCAGAGGTGATACAGTTTTTTAAAACCGGTGGCTGCCTCTGTCTTCTTTTTTTTTCTAAATGCTTTCTTCCTTATTTCTACATCATTACATATTTTTGCGGTCAATATGCCCAGCCCAATGGAGTGCTAACCTTTACGCTAGCGGATACCTCACCATGCTTTGTGGTATTTTGTCCTCGTGAAGTGCTAGGCGTCCTTTCTCTGTCTTAAATAACTTTGATACATGAGGCAGTTAGTGGACCTAGTCATTTAGACAGGGGGTTTAAATTCTCATGGGCAAACGTGCCAATTCTTGGGTGGGAAGAGAGCTCAAGCCCCAGCCAAGGCTCTGCCATTGGCGCGCATGGCAGTTTCCTTCCATACCTTTCCAGCTGGTGCATTAAATCCACAGTGTCCTGAGAGCAGCAGAAGGCTCACAGAAATCTGAAGAGGTGTTATAAAGGTTTTCCTATAATTAAAGGTGTCTTTTCTAATTCATTCGTTTCTCTTTTCCTGAATTCCTTTTCCCTCCTCCCTCCAAATCCTTGTTTGTCTAATCATTGGTATCATCACTTTGTTTAGTATGCATTGTATTTGTATTAACTTAAAAAGTTTTAAACTTTGAAAAATATACATACACAAAAAATAGCAAACTATTGCGTGTGTGAAAACTAGGATAAATATATTTGGAAAAAACCTAGTCTCTGTTGTTTTAAAAGTAACTTCGAGTTATTCAGTGTTATCTCTCTATTAACTGTGTATTTTATGTTCATAAATGCTTTTCATTTACTATCAGGCAGCTTTATATGCTGAATATAGCCAAAGAGAAGGCAAATAACAGAAAAAAAAATTTTTTTTTTTTTGGGTAACAGTGTGTTCTTTCCAGGACCCATCAGTTCAAAGTCAAGTTGTTGTCCTTCAATCTAGTTGTGGAGGGTGCAGCTCAGCTCCAAGTCTAGTCGCCGTTTTCAATCTAGTTGCAGGGGGGGCCAGCCCACCATCCTATGTAGGAATCGAACCGGCAGCCTTGTTAAGAGCACACGCTCTAACCAACTGAGCCATCCAGCCGCCCACTGGCAGCTCACCTGAAGTCGTTGTCTTCAATCTAGTTGTGGAGGGCACAGCTCACTGGCTTATGTGGGAACTGAACCGGCAACCTTGTTCAGAGCATGTGCTCCAACCAACTGAACCACCCGGCTGCCCAACAGAGCTTTCTTATCCAGGATAATGGAGGGGAACCATGTTACAGATTACAAAAAAAGAAATAATAGGACCCAGTTGGGACTGTATTTGCATCAAGAAAACAGTGACACTGATTCTTGAGGCTCCTCTCTTTATATTGGTCATTATTTGTTGCTTGATTCCTTTTACCCTTGGCCTTTTAAAATTTGTGAATGGGTGTTTCTAAAAATGTAGAACCACCCATCCTCTAATAGATAGAAATGGACTTAAGTTTCTAATAAAAGGTGAAAATGCGTTGGCCATGAGGTGTGCTTTTTTGGATGAGACTTGGGGAAATAAGATAGGCTGCTTCACTTCCAAATAATCTCAAAATAACATAAGGAAGATTTGACAGTGCAACATTTTACCCATAGAAACATGTACAGTCATCCCTCATATCTGAGGGGGATTCGTTCTAGGACCCCCACCCTCTGTGGATCCCAAATCCACAAATGCTCGAATCCCTTATAGAAAATGTCATACCTGCATATAATCTACTCCTCTTGTATAATTTACATCATCTCGAGATTACTTATAATATCTGATGTAAATGGCTATACTGTATTGTTTAGGGAATAACGATAAGGAAAGAAGTCTACATACATGTCCAGGAGATGCAGACATCCTAGGCCTAACACATAGTACATGTCAGCAAGTGTATTTTTTTTCCCCAAATATTTTCCATACGCAGCTGGTTAAATCTGCAGATGTGGAACCTGCAGATACGGAGGGCCAAATATAGTAAAAGCCAAGAAGTATTGTATTATACTTACTTTCTAGTTACCTGCCATGGTCTGGCTCCACCCATCTGCCTCTGCAGCGCCCAAGGCGTGGGAAGGGGAAGTCCCTTCAGAAATTAGACACGCCCTTTGGACCAAGTGACTTCCATTGCCAGTAGGAGCAAAGCCCCCATGTAGCAATGATGAGTTTACTAATGTTTAGGGTCCTGTCCTTTTAGGCTCAGCTTGCATTTGGACCCAAATTAACTAGGTTCATGAATCTGTTTAATAAAACAGAATACCAGTTTGTGAATATACCATGAGAAATTGCACATGGAGTGGCATACTCAGGTTGTAACGGTCACAGCATTTGCTCTCTGTAAAAGCCCAACTTACTGTACGATGCGAAAGATGAATTTATTCTAGACTGCATCAACACCGCATACCAGGTCCTATGCTATGCACTGAAGAGACACTTGAGATATTTCTTCCGACAGACACACCCACGTGGACTCAGAAGGACTTAGATGAATTGACTAATGACTTAAAACTAAGACAAGCTGAGGCATCATTTCAGTATTAGTGGTGCCGTGTGTGTGGAATCCATACTAGAAGCTACTCTGCCCCCGGGAAGTGTGTGGCTGAGCTGTGCTTAGATTTCTTTCTGTGTCACTTTTTAAACATTTCTGATAACCTCCATTTTTTAGTTACATTAAAAAATTCTGGCCTTCCCACTCACTCAGACTCCTTCAGGGAACTTGGCAACCTGCGTTTAAGTGCCCACAGACGTGTGTATAACCCCTGCCCACAACCTGGAAAATGAGCTGGTAAAAAGGAGATAGGTACAAAAGCACACCCACTTTTTTTCCCCACTTGAGGGCATGTTTGGTGAGCACACTGACTGGCTCTCTTCTGATGTGATGATCTGCCCACCTGAAGCCCTGGAGAACCCTACTGCTGAGTTGGTGTTAAGCTGCCACAGAAGTCAGCCAACTCCAACAAGCACAGTTAGCCCCATTTATAACTATGACTGGCTGTCACTTTACTATGTCCTGATGTTTTCTGTTTAGGAAAAATTTTACCTGCTCATCTTGCATTTGGCTATGGTACTGTCCATCCAAGACCTTAATACTACTTTATCTTACTCCGTTTTAGGGTTCTTTTGATATAATTCAAAATTGGAGAGGAGTTTCCCAAGGGTAGTAATTGTATTCTTCAGTAATGGTCTTATAATAATGTTATGTTCATTAACGAAAAAGTGGGATAGAAAGATGGGCAATAAACTTAAGGGACGCTTGCCCAACTCCTGCGGCATCTCCTGCCCCGAGCCCGAGAGGTCATCCACGGGCGAGGAAGAGGCGATCTGGGCCAGCGCCTGCGCACTGTCGCCGGCCTGCGGGCGGAAGCCCCGCGCCCAATTCAGTTTCGGGTTCCGTGAGAACGGTCCGATTAAACATTTTTATTCTCTATCGCTTCTGAACCTATGCTGTGATTTAAAACACATCAAATCCCCCGAGAGACTGTTGGGATTGTTTCTTAGCTGCCTCCCTCTTCCTCAGGCACCGCCGAAGGCAGCCCCCATTGAGGGCCATTGAAGGCTCGGGGTCCTGGGTTGCTATGACGACACGCAGACATCCGGGAACAGGCGAGGTGGCAAGATGTCTGGCGGGAAAACATAATTTAGGGATACGAGTTGCAAGTGTCTGTTTTCCCATCACTTCGGAGGCAGAAAGGGTGCGAACGCTGCCCGGCCCAAGTCCCTGGAGCTAGTGTGCGCCCGCTGGGGGCGAGGCCGGGGACCGAGCCGACTGGCGGTGCGGGCGGCCGGTGGGTGGCGCCGCTCGTCCCCGGCCGGGGACACCCCACGCAGAGTAGGACACACCCACAGGCTTCTTAGTCGCGTCCGGTGACCCGAGGGGGCACAGAGACTTCCCCAAAGACGGAAAACCCGTGCCAGATGTATTATCAACTCCGATATTAACACAGACTCTTAAGGGGTCTCTCTCTCCCTGTCTCCCCCTTTCCCTCCCTCTCTCCCTGTCTGCCTGCAGGTCCGTGTGGCAGCCCTCTCCAGTATGCCGCTGATTTGTTTCTAGGTTAGCTTTCTAGAGGGATAGTTCACCTCCCTAAAGAGAGTGATTGGGGGCATTGTTTATTATGCATCACCCGAAAACGCCCTCCACGCCAACACTTGAGGACAAAAAATTAAAAGTTTCTGCATTCAAGGAAAAGACAGGTAAAGTTCCTCCAGGGTCCCGCGGGCATAAATAATCAAGGCCATAGAAATCACGATCCGCTCACTGTTTTTCTTAATCCGAGACTTCGTTTTTTACTTCGCTTTTCTAATACACTTGTGGCGATAAAACGCAAAGCCAATCCTTTCATAGTTTTATTGCATCAGAGTCCTGTTTCACTGTTCCACCTATAGGACTGTAGTTTTTTTTGTTTGTTTTTTTTTTCACACGCTGATGATTTTATATTGTTTTCAGTTCCTATTTTAAGTACCAGCAGCTGTATGAAATAATCCTTCTTGGTTGCCAGGTAAGGAACCAGTTTGTATCAGATTTTAGTAATCATTCTAAATGAAAGTAATTCCTTATTTAAGATTTTCATGCACATACAGATAAAGGCAGATCTGTACTAGAATAAGAATCAGCCAGACTCATTCCTTCCCTCATTATGTTAAAACTCCCTTCGACTCACCTTCATCTTGTTTTTAGGGGAGATTATGCTAAAACCCCACCTAATCTTTTTCTGTTTCCTCTGATACTCAGATTCCATCCCAAACTTTCAAGAGATAGAGATTTGGTAATGTAAACTGTAGAGGTTTTGATGGTGATTAAAGCATGATAACCTTATAGAAATGAACATAAACCGTACTCTGTGAGGGGCAGAGATTAGTGGAGAGTGCGTTAAGAGTGACAGCCTGATTCTCCTTGACTGACTTAATAGGACACCTTTTCCTATATTAGCCCTGCTCCCTACTTTTATAACTTCTCTGCCCTTGTCAAGCTGAGTAGAACACTCTTTGTGCTGTTAACTCTACCAATTTGCTCAGGTTATTCCACTTTCTTCATTTCCAACAATCCCAGTTCTATTTTTACTTTAAACCCAATGCAGATCCCTTCCACTCTATAAATGCCCCAATTTAATGCAATTATTCTTATCTTTGAGCTTATAGAGAAAAAAGTTACTATGTGATTTGACAGTTTTGAGGAAAGTTTCTTTTGTCATTTTCATATCAAAGGGAAAAAAAGACATTCCCATCATTTTAAGGCTAGCACAGTTAATTGAACAAGTGAAATTAATTTAATTTTCAACTTTGATTTTTGAATAATGGAGGTTCATCTTTGTGCCTGAGTTTTTGAACCTGTGTCTGATGTGAGTGTGAGTAGGGCAGGCCATATGAGTTTCTTTCTCTCAATCAATCAATCAATCAATCAATCAATCAATCAGTCTCTCTCTCTCTCTCTCTCTCTCTCTCTCTCTCTCTCTCTCTCTCTCTCCTAGATGATGTTCAGTGTTTTAAATATTGTTACTATTTTTGGCAAACAGAAGCAGTGTTTCTTCTGTTAGAAACATAGAAATGGGATTGGTGAGGCAGCCTGGGAATCTCCAGCTAACTTAAAAAAACCACAGCAAGCTTTTCCATTATTTTCTTAGGACTTCTTCCTGAACTAAGGGAGAAAAAATGTATGGTGGATGGTTCAAAACCCCTTCCTGCTTCCCTTCAGAATGAGTTCATTCCCGAAGAGGTTCTTCTTTCTCTGACCAGTGCAGCCAATGCTGGCCCTTGTCCTGAAAACTTATTACCTCCTAAGAAAATTAAAACCCCAAAGG